CAAGTCCAAATCCAAACATAGTTACCAAACCCAAGCCCAAATCCAAATCAAATCCAAACCTAAATTCAAATCCAAACCTCAAGATACCAAACCCCAAATCTTTGGATTTGTTGCATCCCTACAGGAAGGTATAGCGTAAAATTTTCATTGCGCGAAAAACATTCCGGAACCAAAATTAATTTTTCACATCTGTGAAAGTTGTTAAAAATGCCGGTCTTATTTGACTGACTCGACTAGCACAACTGCATTTAAGAGCAAAGCGCATACAATTTTCAGAATCCGCATAATTAAGCTGACTCTCGTCAAGTAACATAGATTTCAGTAAATAATATTTTTCATTGCATAGAACACCTCGAATCTCCATCAGCTCTTTTTAAAATATTTTGCCGATGGTTCCCTCAGCTTGTTTTCTGGAAGGAAAACATTTTTCACTGAAACCTATGTTACTTGACGTGAGTCAGTTTATTTATGCTGATTCTGAAAATTGTATACGATTTGCTCGTAAATGCAGTTGTGCTAGCCGAGTCAGTCAAATAAGACCGGGATTTTTAACAACTTTCACAGATGTGAAAAATTGATTTTGGTTCTGGAATGTTTCGCACAATGAAAATTTTATTCCAGTCGCATTGTACAGAATTTTATGTTATACCTTCCTGGAATCACATTCTTCGAAGTACAGTGGTTTAAGTTTCCGAAATCCCAAACAAGTTTGCAAAAAATGCTCTGCATTGAGGAAACTGTTTTTCTCTGTGAGTAACCACTCAATTATCGAAAAGCTTTCAGCCTATATACAATTTCTCATTGTCAATAACCTGATTAACAAAAATATATATCATATAGGGTACACCACCGTTCAGTATGAAAATGGTGGACATCAACATTGAAAGTACTCCGAAAATAGACACCGTCTTATAATGTTCTGAAGAAAATAGACATTAGAACAGAATTGATTTTGCTAAAAACTGTACTGATTTTAATAGAGCATAGGGCAGTGCAGTTTTTGATCATAAAGCTTTTTAGCGCTATTTTGATTTTTGAATATAACAACACCCTACAAAAATCTAAAAAATGACTATTTTATATGTGAATAGAACCTATTTCACATGTTTGACTGTACACTATCTGGTAGAAAAATTACTGATAAACTTGAGCAATACATCATTGTGTAGAGCGTGAAAAACTGAGTCGATCCACACCATTAGTTTTCATATAGAATACACAAAAGAAAAAGATATGGGTACCATACATACCGCCAAAGAAACCAAAAAGAGATATACATCCCCTGACTTGTTCAACCACAAAAAAGCTTTTTGTCATTTAATTAAAATCAAACGAAATAAAGAGAACTGTTCAAAATATCAAGTTGTATCTTTCTATATTTTTGAGATTAAAACCTAGGGGGTGGCAAGCTTACGATCAAATCCTACGGTATCATTTTTAATCTAATTCAATCAGTTGCAGATAAAAGTATATAGTTCATATATACATCTACAAAATGTATTTTATTCAGATGTATTTATCATTACTGGTCCCATCCGAACCCAACCCAACCCAACCCAATATTAATCTGAAACATCAACCTCATTTTACTTTTCTATATAACAAGACAACTAGTATATGATTATTTTTAAATGCATTCAATTGAATTTCCAGGAAATTTTTATTATAGTCATTTCATTTGAGTTCCCTGTACATCGGAATTTACCATCGCATGATTCAGTGGTATAGCAGTTGACTGTGTGACAAATGGACTCACCTGGACGTAAGATACACAAGCATAACAAGAAAATTTGGTATGCACCAAATAAATTCGAGTCATATGGAGAAGAAGAAATAAAGGCTGTAGAAAGCTGCTTACGAAAAGGTTGGCTGGCACCAGGTCCGATTACTGAAGAATTTGAACGTGAAATAGCGAATATCTTCGGCAAAAACTTCGCTGTTATGGTGAATTCAGGTTCATCCGGCAATACACTGGCGTTACTCATTGCAGGTTTGAAATTAGGCGATGAAATCATTGTACCTGCATGTACGTTTGCTACAAATGTTTCTCCAGTTATTCAGCTTGGCCTCGTGCCTGTATTCTGCGATGTTGAACATGGTGAATATGTACCGTCTGTCGCCCAGGTCATTGATAAAGTTAGTGCACGCACAAAAGCTCTCTTTCTTCCAAACCTTATTGGAAGTAAACCAGATTGGCAAGGATTGAAAGACGAATTATTTATGTTGGGTCGTCGGGATATTAAACTCATCGAAGATTCCTGTGATACAATCACGAACACTACAGTAACAGATATTACTGTTACTTCATTTTACTCCAGTCATATAATTACAGCAGGTGGCGGTGGAGGAATGGTTATGTGTAATGAAAACAGTCAACGTGATCTCGCTCTACAATATCGCGATTGGGGAAGAATGGGTACGAACACTGAATCGTTCTCGGAACGCTTTGGTCATTGCATTGATGGCATTGAGTACGACTTCAAATTCTTGTATCCTATTCTTGGGTATAATTTCAAGTCGACTGAAATGAATGCTGCATTCGGTCTAGAACAATTGAAAAAACTGCCATTATTTCTAGAGAAACGTCGGAAAAATGTAGACCGCTTTGTGCAACAACTCAAAGAACTAGCACCTTATGGTCTTGTACTTCCAAAAAATCACGAAAAAATAGATTGGCTTGCACTACCGCTCATGTTCCCTAATCGCAAGGCACTCCTTCAAAAACTTGAAGACAGTGACATACAGACACGAGTGTGTTTTGCAGGTAACATAACTAGGCATCCTGCCTACCGACAGTACTATCAGGCGTTTCCAAATGCTGATGAAATTATGCAGAAGGGCTTTTTAATCGGCGCTCATCATGGTATGAATGAACAAGATGTTGATTATGTGTGTGAGGTAATTAAGACATACATTTACTCAAATCAAGTACCTAGTCATGCTAATCCATAGTATTCAGACTCATTTTATTTTGTTTCTTGAAAACTAGAAACAAATTAATTCTTATGGTTTTTTGTCCAGTTACTTTTCCCTTATACTAATAAAATAATATTTACAGTATGAAACAGTTTGAATTTATTTCGATTTCAATAACCGTATCGATATCCACATATGAAACAATGCATCCAAAGTTAGTTCAGATTGAATTTTTATTTCAATTTACTATGAACGTCGGATGCAATCAGACCTAGCGGTTCATCAGTTTCACCATTTCGACAAGTAGAATAGATTTGCAAAGGATAACTATGGGTGGAAGCGCATAAGAAAACAAATTGCGCCGCTGGAGAATTCGAGTGAAAAGTATAGAAATTCCCTGGAGAGGCTCTGGGGATGTGGGTGTTAGTTTGGGTATGTATTCTTTTTTCTGTACACCCACACCCTCACGCTTCCACATTTTTAAACAAATTCTCAGATTGTAAAAGTCATATTATGTGCAGCAAACTAATTTTTTAAGGAAAGCTTTATTAGAGACACTAGAATGAGATGACAGGTTATTTCATAGTTGTGGATGAAAAGGAATGAAGATGATTATATGAGACTTAATAGGAAACTGGCAGTCTTGCAAAAAACTGGTCGTATATGATTCTTTTTTTCATTTTTAGTTTCATAGTTATTTGGTTCCAGATGGCTTTCGTGCATTATCTGATACGGAAAACGAGCTATAGAACTCGAAATAAAACAAATGTTTGCTGACAATTTATTAGATATGGACCATGCACCATCAACATTATCTTCTCAACATTCTTCAAAATTTTCAAACATAGCTGCAAGTATCACAACGACCTCACATGGTGCGAATAAATTATTAACATCTCAGTCTAATAATAACCATAAACCTACAGCTATGGAATTATTTCTTGATGCCGTTGGCGATGACACAATTCTTAAAAATAATTCTAGTCAACGCTCAACAATAGTTGAAGAACTATACAACTACCGATTATTAGTTATCAAGTTAAATTCTAAACATGGGTCATCAACATCATCTTCTTCAAACTTCTGGAAGAGTTATTCGATAAATTTACCATATCTTTGTCAATTGGCGAAACAATTATTGTGTACACCAGCTACAAGCATACCTTCAGAGTCAGTCTTTTCCATGCAAGGGGGGAACAGCAGAATCCTTGAATTCACTGGAGTCCACTTGAATCCACTCTGATATGAAATTCTTAGAATTATAAAATTATGATATTTTTCATTTTCTCAATTCTCTGTTGAAAGTAGAGAAAAAAATAACAAAAAGAATATTCGTGAAGACTTCAGGAATTAATCAAGAAATATTTATATTAAAAAGTGTTTTTATTATCAATAATTATATTATTTATTTGTTTACAAAGCAACTGCAAAATGTAAAAATAAAAATAAAAATCAAACGGACATAAAAATATAAAAACCCAATGCTTGATAGAACCGATCAACTATAAAAGAGAAAAATAAGTGAATTATTAAATTAAACACATGAATTTAATATAAAACCCTACTATATAAGAGAACATGAAAGAAGTGATCGAAGAAGTACAAACAAGACAATGTTCGACATAGAAAAATTATCTTCTTGTTCTTTTTGCTGATTCTATTGTGCTATGTGAAGATTCTATTGTTTGAACTTTTCTTTTCGCTTGTCTTTTAGTTTTTAATGATGATGGTTGTTCAATAATATTAATATCACAAGTTACATCTTCTGTTGATTTGGATGTAGAAAATACTGTGACTGAAGTTGAATTCGATTGTATTGTATCTGATGGTACTATAATAGGTATCAAATTTGGTGATGCAATTTGTTGACGTACATTATATGATGTGACAATGGCTGCTGATTATTTGTTGATGATGGTGATAATGATGAAGATAATAGAACAGCAGCTGATCTTAGCATTAATGATGGGTTTCCTCAATTGATGATTACGATAATGAAGATGAACAAGATGATACTCGAGATTTAATAAATACAACAAAAGAAGAATTTTCTGGAATGAAAGTTTTTGATATAATGCATTTACATATAGAACATTCTTATTTTAAAGCTACAATCAATGATGATATAAAATATATACATAAACAGACTGCTTGTTGGTTATTAACTGGTAAAAAAAAGCAAAACGTCAAACGATCGACTGCTTCGAGTTAGAGTCCATTGGGTCCGGATCCAGATTAAAAATATTTTCAGCTATTGGGTCAGATCACAAGAAACTTCTTATGCATATAATTGAGTAAAAAAGAAGCTGATGTTGTTGATGTTGAAGTTGTCTAAGTTAAGAAACAATATAAACATTTTAATACATTCATTCCTTATTCCACCCGAAGCTGCACACTACTAGCGAGTCGCTATGAGTCAGAGCCCATTATAAATTAATTGTTAAAATCTCTTTATCGGATAGTTGAAAGAGCGTGTAAGATGTACTACTTGCATGACAAAACATGACAGAAGTATGCCGTGTCTTTGGAACGATCGCTAGGTTCAATTAGAAAATTTGATTACAAGTTTAAGAGTATGTTTTGTTCCAGATCTATTTTGGATTAATAAACTAGGTATTTATCAAGAATGCCAGCTTAACTTTACTTTCAAGTTGAAAGCAGCATGATTAAAATTTGCATTCCAAAGAGTTAAAGTTCAAATAGATTCTTTCATTGAAAGAAATTTTCTATTCAGAACTATTTGTGTTTCATCAAAACATAATTTTAACAAAAGAAAGATTTTCTGAAACTATTTTTTAAATTTTGATTGTTTAGAAAGTTAAACTTAAAGATATACTTGTTTTAGCTTTAAATTTAAAGATTAAAGTTGAGATACGCTAAACCCTCGCCCACAATAGAAACCCCTCCTAAGAAACTAATTTTTCCTATAAGAACACCATTTTTCAAACTTCTGATAATTTTTGCGTGATACAATTTGGTTGATCTACTAATATGGTAGGGGGTTTACTTCAATTTGAATAATTCTATCAGAGTAGTTTCAAAGTTTTAGTGCCACCACTAGTATGGATTCAGACGCTTTTGATGTACCGGGTCTGGGTCCGTGGTCCAAAAATTCTTGGACCTGATGGGTTCTACTTTGAGTACAACAGATTAATAAAAAGAGTTGATTGTTTTTTTCTTTATATAATACTTTTTTCATTTATTTTCAATAGATGAACAGCGCTTTACTGACTTTCAATTCTTGAAATAAAGAATGTGCTGTATGAGAATAAAAAAAGATAATGTATGCTTGTATCCGAATCAAGACTAATAAAAATTTTACCTATTTGTACACACGATACAAACATGAAAAAAATGGAAATATTGAATTTTTACAATGAATTTAAAAAAAATAGGGAATCATTTTACGAGATTTCACGTGATTCCACTTGAATCCGCTTGAATCCGCTTGAACCCATTTGAACTCACCTGAGTTCATTTGAATCCAGGTGAATCCAGGTGAACCCATTTGAATCCACATGAATCCACATGAATCCACTTGAATCTAAGGGACTGGATTCTGCTATTCCCCCTTGTTTAAACTACACTGAAGTTTAGATATTTATTATGTTATACGTTTGATATGGTTTTTTTTATCATTCAGGACTCAATTATTATTTTCTATCGCTTTCATATCAAAATCTAGTGAGACCACGATAATTGTAAGAAAAATCGTTAAAAATGTCCAGAAGGTATCGCTGATCAACTCATCAGCTTATACCTCTAACCACACGTAGTGTCGCCAACGATTGACGATCTTTTTTCCATTGTTGTCCCTACTATATCTATTTAATCTACTTATATACTTATCTTACTGTTCATTTTTGATGATGTATCTACGAAAAAAACCAAAGCTGCATATAGTATCAGGTTGTCCGGAAAATTCGTGTAATTCATAGATTATATTTAATTTAATTTAATTTAATATTGATAGCTTTTGTGCAAGTCTAATAAAATTGTTGACAGTAAAGTTGGCCATGGTAGAAAACGAACCGCTCAATGACCTTGCGTCTCTAAAGATAGACTAGCATGACTGAGAATTAAATAAATGCATATTGGCCAGTGCTTGCTTAGGTAAATTTTGTTGTTTCACTACAAGCACTAGATAGAACAGGTTATGTGCATTTAACTCAACAGATAAATACGCGGGCTTTGAAGTAAAATGTTTATCTACGTTATTTGTCCTTGTTCTTGCACTTGCTACTTTGCTTTTTGATGAACTAGACAACGATGTTGTTTTTAACCACGACCACCATGTCGATTGTATGCCTAAATATTTAAAACTGTTCAAGATAAATAAGTTCAGATTTTTTGTTTTTGTAGATAGCAAATAAGCTTACGTTCACTAACGGATGCTGATTTATCACATCATCTAATATTATTTTAATGCATCAATTGTAATTTTGGCGATCTTTTGGATTAATATCGCTGATAGTAAGACCGTGATCCAGTTTTGTATAATGACTATCATTAATCAATGCTTTGATGTGGTTTATATTAATCTTATCGAAACCAAAACGTAAGTCAGTTGTTGATGATAGTAGCAGCCTATTTCTCCATTTTGTAACAACGTGAACTGGATCATGAAAAACGAAAAATAGCTGGCTACTTCGAAGGAAAAACCACATCCACTGCCAGGGATGGCGTAGTGGTTCTATGCATCTGATTTGGTCAGATACCAGAAGGTTCGATTCTTTCCCCTGACACGGTATTTTGGTTTCAAAGATATTCGATAATGGAAGAATAGTCAAGAAAGAAAAAACAATTCAATACGCGTGGATTCGTCATCACTGCCTCTCCAGTTTGTTTGTTTTCTGTTCTTTGTATTCTGTTCTCTATATGTTATCATTATCTTTCTCTCTCGTAAGCGTCCGAAAGATTGTACTAAAAATCATAAAGAAGATAGGATGTTACGAATAAATAGAACGAAATTAAAAATAAAATAAACCACATCCAGTATTTTGGAAGATCTATTCTAAATGCATGTTGATGCTTATCTAATTGTAAATCGGACAATGATGTAAAAAAGCGACTTTCAAGTCGCATAGCGCTTATATATCTTCTGCCAGCATCTATTCACAAAAAATAGCGCTTTAATTAGCATGAACAGTATAAATTTACCTGTGGAAAAACCTATGGTGCGAACATTTTTTTCTAATCAATGTTGAAAATATATACACCCATCGATTCAAAACACTGATGGCAGTAATTCTATTGTCATCACCATACGCAGGTACCAGCAAAGGTCTTGAAATGCATTGTGCATCATCTTCAGTTGGAATAGTTTGCAACATTTGAACATTCAATAACGGTGCTATCTCATTTGTGTCATATATTGTTTTAAAATCATTAAATGTATCAGCTCGATAAAATTGTGACAATGGAGCACCATGACCAATTGGTGTAGCAAATCCGACGAAGGAATTTGTTTTAGAATCATATTCAACTTCACGGATTACACCAGCGGTATCTTCAGAACAGAAACCAAAATGTAAATGAAATCGACGAAGAAATTGGAAGTGGAATTCTGCTTCACTGAAAGCAGTATCTGAATTTTGAATTAAATGGCCTACGGTTGCTAAATTTGGAATGGATCCATAAAGATTCAAACGAATAAATTCATAAGCCTGTTTCCCACCTAAAACATATAGACATACAGCAAAATTTTGTAAAACACTACCTGAAACGAGTGTTGAAGTGTTTAGGGTAAAAATTTGCCACCCCTCTCCTGCCCACCCGCGCACAGACCGTTACAGACAAGTTTTGTCGTAGTAAAACAGAAAGAAATGTTGAGGTGTTAAAGATACTCTGTAAAAAATGAGGTCTGCAGGACCTTAAAAGGCTCTGTAAACCTACTTTCTTTTTTTACAGAGTAGGAACTTGGATTCCTTCCACGTGTATTTTAACTAGTGAATTAGCTAATTACGGTATAATTATTTAGCTATCTATGACAAGCCGTAGGAGACAGGCGTTGGAACTATCACAAACAGGTTAGCAAATTCAGGGAGGATATAGAGGAGTAGTTATAATATACCTTGATGAATAGAGATGGACGTCGTCGTACGATCGAAAACCACATAATGCTACAGTATCAATAAATCTATGATCTACTTCCCTTTTACGCTTGTAGCTGGTGCATTAAAGTATAATGAAAGAAAAAGTTCAAAAATATAGTATAATCATTTTTTGTGATCAGAATTAACCATTACATCGTGTTTCACATTTTAATTCCAAAGGAGTTGCGCTAACAGCTTTTTCAGAATACAGCACTAAGGTTCTATTAATAAGAAATTTGCTTAAAACTTTCATTGACTTACCAAACGATGAAATTAAAGACATAAGGAATAGTTCACAAAAAATTTTCAGCTTGGAATGTATCATCGAAAATTCTCGAGTAATAAATCTAATGATTTTTCTAGCCGAGTGAAGCCTGAAATCAGATAAAATTCAAATCAAAAAGTATAATCCTATGCGGAAGCAGAATTAAATATAGCAGCGGCTAGCTATGAGTGGCGCTCCGTAGAGATGCCGACGAGCAACTGGCTGCTGCTCTGCAAATTTAACTGAAGGAGCGCTTCTGGCTGTTACAGTTCATAGGAAAAATATCTACTGTGCAGATCGTGTCGGTTTCAATACTAATCAGAACTAGTAAATAAACTAAGAAGTGTTTTCAAATGAAGTATGAGAACGATTATGCTGCATGCGCACAGTAACTGAATAGAAAATATCAGGAACTCGTCACGAAGAGAACTTAGATCCATACCAGTTAGGGTAGATTTTAATGAAATAAAATGAGTTTTCCAGATGTTATGTGTCATTGTCTGCGTGCATTGACGTGCCTAAACTAATATGAGTATACTGAAAATTAGCTATCTCACCTGATGACTATTTTGAGAGAGCACTTTACTCAAATAGAGTATTCTGACTATAGGTTGCTTTATTTCAGTATAGGTGTTCAACTGAGCTCGTATTTTTTCAACAGACACATGCAAATAATATTGTCGCTTGATGTGCCCGTTACCGCGCGAGCTTTTATTAGAGTTTTCAAGGAGTATGTTGTGTTTTCACGTAAGTGGCGTGGATGTGTTTTATTTGTTGCTTCTTTCTGTAGATTGAATATATTGTCTTTTCTCGGAATATGTGAATACTGTCGGCAAAGTATTTTTCATTTAAATTTCCGTTAAACATTATTGTGTGGATAGCACTTCGACTGGATAAATTTATAACAAAAAAGATCATAGGAACAAGTATATCATCGTGTCTAACGATATTATTACGAATATCAATACTTAGCCTCACATCTAGCCTTTCTCAATCGTCGGATACTAACTTTTTCTGAGAAATGTAAAGCAGTGTACAATATCGAAAGATTCAGTCGAGGATCCAGCGAATCTCATCGATGAGCGTTACTGGTATTTCAGTAATTTGCGAAACCTCTTTAGCAGTTTGGTGATAAACTTATATTTTTAGAGTGCCCATATTGCTACATGCGGTTTTCTATATCTATTCTTGAAACTGCATACATAATAATGTGAGATTTTATCGAACACTATCAAATAACAATCACTACAATAATTTGTGGCATAATAACCGTTGCAATAGTGCACGTAAGCCTTGTAATCATATAAGACTGAACTTAAATAGTTTTAGCTGAAATCGAAGTTAGAAACACGGATTCGCTTGATACATATATCTCGGTTGATGTAGAGAGATGATTCATTTCATGAGTTTTGAAGCGATGTACACTGTAAAAAAAATAGGTTTTCCACCGAACCAAAAAAGGATCTGAGCGCGGACACACGGTCAGATCCTTTTTAGGTTTCGTAGAAAAAAGGTTCCGTATGGAACTTCTTCTTGAGAAATGGAAAAAATGGTTTCGTCCACATGGTTCAGTACGAAACCTCTGTGTAATTCTGCT